TTAATTTTAGTTTATATAATGTTATAAAACTTGTATACCATTCACGAACACCAACAGATCGGTTTAGTGAGCATACGTTTTACGGTCAGTACTCGTTTGTTTCGGCAGGTAAAATGTATTTTTTCTTTTGTAATCTGTGCTCTAAAGTTTTTTTTTTTGACATTATTCTAATGTTGTTTCAACTTTTAGCATAACTTATTAGACAAACAAAAAAATTTTTTGTTGACATAAATCTGAATCATTTAATGGGAGTAAAAGCGGGTGGAGGGAGGAGGAGGGGGGAGGGGGGAGAAAAAAAATGCATTTTTGTTTCTGCTTCTTAAAAGACGTTATTTTTGAACAGCAGTAATGCTTTAAAAAAAACAGAAAAAAAGTTGCTCAACCTAATTAAGGTTTTAATTCATTTTTTTAATTTATTTTTCTGTTATATTTCAAACTGTGTTTGTGTTTGATCAGAACAAACACTTTATTATTGCCAAAATTTTTACAGTCAAAATTTAGACACTTATAAAAATGGCATTTCACTTCCTAATTCAACCTATGAATATATTATCGACTCCAAATATGTGTTAGTTTATAAATTTTTCAAATTTTTACTGACTATTTAATCTGTTTTTTTTGTTCTTATTTAATTATTTGTTTTTGTAAAAAATTTATATTTTTTTTAAGAAGTCGAGGAACAATACGTTCTCCAACATATCCCGGAGCATATCCACAGGTAATAAAAAATTTTAACAGATTAATTTTTCTTTTGTTTTCTAGTGATTTTATAGTCAAAAAAGAAAAACAAACAACTGAAATGAAGCAAAACAGAAGAAAATTTTGCAGTTATATAAAAAAATTTGTGTTTTGATAATGATTAACTGTATAAATTTGTGTTTGTTTAGAGTTTCTACTGTAGTTACCTACTCAAAGGAAGTCGAGGCAAACGTGTACGATTGATGTTTACAGATTTTGATGTTTATTTTGGTGGTACCCAGTTAGTTATTTTTTTTTTAATCTGCTTTTCATCATTAAACACTATCAAAACTGCTGTTTATTAATCGAAATTTTTTCACTGTTAATAAGCTTTAAAAAAAAGAATTTTATTTATTTTTATTTTTTTTTGTTGGTGGTGGTGATCTTTTTTTTGCATTAAGGTAAAATCTAAACAGTCAGCTTTTTCTAAATTATCTGTCTGCTGTAGCGTTATATGCAAAAAATAAAATAAAAATAAAATAAAACAAACAGAGTGAAATAAATTAAAAGATAACTATTGTTTTTTTTTTTTTTTT